ATGTGAAAAAATATAACATTTCCACCAAACCGCACAAATACATTATACTAATAGCCAAGATATAGGGTACACTCCAAATAAGATACAATCTATATGTACACGAATTCATTAGTTTTTCTGCTTATAAGTCAAAAATCGCTGGACCGATTTTGACAATTCTCACCAATTCGGAATGGTCGGTTGCTAGAAAAAGATAAAATCTAAGAAAATCGTGCAAAAATATGCCAATAAAAAGTGAACATTTCTTTGTCAAAATTGTTATCGCATCCGATTTTTTCATATTTGGACCTACAATTTTGATTTGTAAATTTTTTAATATTTTCTACGGTTAACAATTAAAAACCAATCCATACAAAATTTTGCATGATGAGAGAGTTAAGGGAAAGTCTAGCATTTTTGAAATTGATTTTTTTGTAAAATTGTTTTGAATCAAAAATGGGTGTGGACCTAAGGAGGTTTTCCCATATATTGTAGTGTTGTAACTCAGTCCGAGGGAACTTTTTCAGAACGTTAAAGTACTAAAAGTCGACCAGAAATCGGCAATAATGCCGCTACATTTTAATCGTCCAAATTTGTCTATTTAAAAAATTTCGCCACATAAGAACATAAACAAAACCCTTAAACGTGGCTGCATTTATTTGTCGATTAAGTGTACAATTTTCTAGGAAAAAGTCAATGGTCAATGGTGTAGATTTTTGCATGTAAAAGAATAAGTCTTGTGTCTACGTATTGCATATTTTCAAAATACCTGACCGGATACCGTTCGATATTGCTCACAATTTCATGTTAACTCTCACAAATATTGGTGGTATATTTTTAATGTTTTTTATAAACGTCCATTCGTCTGGCCTTTACGCAATTACAATCTAATATTAACCAAAGACTTACACCTTTACGTATGGTGACAAAAATATTTCCCAGATATCAAAAATTTCCCACACTTTCAAATCCTATATCATTCGCATGAATGTTCATTCATACGTATATATGTAAGTATAAAAAGTATTGTGTGAATTTTTTGTCTATTGTAAATGTTGACTTTGTTGCCTACATTTTTCAAAGAGAGAATGTCACAAAACGAATGTGTGAAAGCGTTTAGTAAATTCCATTTCCAGTTTTTCAATTTGACAAAATACGTGTAAAGATTCCAAGAATTTATATATTACACATTCTCCTTGCGAGGAACATTCATACACATTGGATTCCGGTTATATCATCGGTATTATGCTTTAATGCCATTCTCCAGGGAATAACTATAAATTCGATTAAAGCTGCCATTCCTCAAGGATGATAAGAGTTTTGCACAGCGAATTCGAACAAGGCATGGGTATTTGCCAGTGCCGTAAGGGGCAGTTGTTTTTTTTTCAACTAAAATGTAAGGACACATATTAAAATGTTCAAATTTAAAATAAAAAAAAAAACGTTTTTAAATTTCGTCTAGTGGCTATTAATCTTATAATAAAAAAGGAAAAACTCGAAAAAGAGTGAAGAATTTTTTAATAAAATATTTATGCAAATGTTATCTGCTATTTTCATAGCCCTTAACGAATTTCGGAATGAAGTCAGCTGTGTTTAAATAAAACAACATTAAAAAAATGTTCAATTCCTGACATCGTCAATTGGAATATATTGTATTCGCAAACATTGTGAAATATATTAAAGAAGATGTGTGTGTGCGTATCATGTGGGTGTTACAGAGGTGTTTCGGTTTACAATTCATTTTAACGACGAAGGTTTTTTTTGTTGTTTTTGAGCAAGTCCCTGTTTATAACAACTCTGTTGCAGTTTTATTATCCGGCAGTGGCATAAAACGCCTTTCTCGCTTAGATGCATTTTCATTATTGAAAACAACCAACCAACAAACAAACCAGCTAACTAACAAACTTCAATGGGATTTTTTTATTTGTGCCTGTGGTTGAAACATCATCAGGACGAGATTGTAACATGACCCACAAGGTCGTACATGAATACGTGGTTATATACAGATACATACGTTTATGTCTATCTATACATGCGCGAGAGAGGAGTTAACTCTGACTTTTACTTTCAACCCAGGACTTTTATTGGTGAATTTTTTTGCTGAGGAGATTTTGTTTTATATCTCTGTTTCACAGAACTGTTGTTAAGGACTCCTTTATTCTGAGTATTTCAGCAACATCAGCAAAACTGCTATTTTATTTCTGTACAGATTAAGGAGTAAAGTTGCTATATGTTGGATGTTGTATGATTTTTATAGCATTGATGGTTATTGTCTATTACGAGGTCTTTCTGATAATTGATGGAAGAGTAATAAAAAAAAGTCACTAAGAGAAATTTCTCCAAAACTATTTTGTAAAAAAATGAGGGATTCACCTCCCCACAATTACGCTCGCCAACAAACTAAAATTATTATTGAATGCAAATCAGAAGCTTTATTAAATCGACAACGACTTGAAGCAAAAAAAAAAATTGCTTCTATAGTCCTTGCCAAATGCTCCTCACCCATCTCATCTCAATTACAATTGTCTAAATGAATCGAAGAAAACGGCGTAAATCTATTCAATTTACAGTTTAATCTTTTGTTGATTGTAAAGCATACTTTTAGGCATGTCATCTACAGTGTAATATGTGCAGTGGAAATAACGTCGAACTGTACTAGTTTTACACATTGGATTTAAGGGTAGTAAACATTAATGGTAAATTTATACTATTGAAGATTAACCCACTTGGTTATTAGATCCAATGGGTTAAACTTGTGTGTTTAGATCAGCACTACTCAACCCGTGTGCTTGCATATGAGTCCAAAAAAGAGATTATTTAAGAGATTCATTTCAATTGTTTTCAAACTTGGATGTTATTTAAATTTATTAATAATGCGAATTATTACAAAAATATATAAATTGAGTTTAAACATTGGATTTTTGCTGATTTAAAAAAAAAAACTAAGAGAAATTGGAGTGGTGAGCGAGGTCTGATTTTTGAGCTTCGCTGGTTTAGATACACCCTTAGGTGGATAACAAACAAAAACAAAGCTAATATGGAGATAATTGAAGTTGAAACAAAAGTTTCAGACAGTCAGCAACGTCTGCAAGGAAAATAATGTATCTTCAAATGTTTTATTATTGTTTGAATACAAAATGTAAAGAACACGCGGAAAACTTTGCGGGCTTGGAGTGTACCGCAGTACTAATGGCAGTACACACCGATACTTCCCGCTAACTTGTAGATTCCGCTCCGGAATTACAATTAATCCTGTCGTATGGAGGGCTAGTTTTGAATGAAAATCTGATTAAATAAATCCGGAAAAAAATAAATCCTGACGACATGGATAAAATCTGTATAAAATTTTGTATAAAAAAATATAAATAATATGAATAATGGGTTAACCTACTTTATGAAAATTTAATAATTTTTTTTGAACAAAAATTTAAGATATAAAACTGTGCCATTTTTATACCCTACACCATACATAGTATGGAGAGTATATTAAGTTCGTCATTCCGTTTGTAAGTCATCAAAATAATAATTTTAGACATATAAAAGTATATTATCTTGATCAGCGCAACATTCTAAGACGATTAAGACCTATGCATCTGGTAGTCTGTTGTAATAACGTTAGAGTCAAAACGAATAAGGATAGGAAGCTAAAGGTTTGCACAGATAAGTCTTTTGTCTGTAGACAACATACACATACAGTACCTCCCTATATTCCGAGCTTTGAAGATTTTAGCTACATTATTCATGGACTATGGCTTATGACAAAAGTTGCCTATGCAGGTCCACGTCTTCGTATAGACCCATGATAGAAGAATACAGGTAGATGCATCATCGATTGGGAACATTGATATGTCAAAATTTTTTAAATGTTTTTCATATATAAGTAGATTTTTATACTTTTTCTTATACGACGTCTTTCGGAGGATATTATAATTTTCCGTTTTAAACAATTTTTAAATAATTTTCATTCAACATTTTCAATTCTAAAATTGGTTTGACAGTTCATTGTCCAGCAGCTGTGTCGATGCGTCTACCTATATTCTTTTACCAGGTATAGACCCCAATATACCGGATATATTCTGCAGTTTTAAGATTTTAACAGAATTTTCAACAGATTTTTTTCTGAAAATTTCAAAATTTGATACAAATGGTGTAGGGTATTCAATGTTCTGCCCGGCCGAATCTACTACTTTTTTACTTGTTTAACATAATTATTGGATGAATAAGAAGAAAATTAAAATTTGCTGCACAAAAATGATTTGGAATTCGTACTAATAATAATAATAATAATAATTCGTACTTTAAATAACGAAAGAGCTGAAAGTACGGAACATTGTACCTTTGAGATTGACCGATCGAAAAAGGAGAGACTTTGTCCTTTTTTTGAGACTTTGTACTTCAACAAAAATCAACCATAACCCTTGGGTCTTCCGAACCGTACCGAATATTTAAATAGCGCTAAGTACTGTACTACCAAAAGTCAATGAATGTGATGAAGTCCGAGTTTTGGTGGAAGTTATATAAAGTAGCGGATTCCAAATATGACGTGCTAAAAAAAGTTATAAATAAGTCACCATTGTTGTGAGACGTTTGGAATTATTTTTTATACGAAGAAAAATAAATGAAATGCTAAATCTATGGAATATGGAATGCCACTGTGTCTAAATGAAATAAAAAGTCCAAAAAAGGATACGCAACACATTTTTTTTTGAGAACGCAATAAATAAGTCAACAACAATAGTGAATTCCAGCATATAAATTTGACCAGTTTTATTTCGAATTTAATTGTTATTGATGAATTAATTAATTTTTAAATAATTAGTCATCCCATTTTTTTTGTAAATAACTGTAGGATCTAAATTAAAATGGATATAAAACAATTGAAATACATATATATATAATGGGAAACAAATTGGTTAAAGGACGTCACATATTCGCATGCAAAACTATTTTGAAGAAAATGATTAATTGGATTTTATGACATCGTTAGTCGATATGATGAAATAGAGACATTTACCCTTTGGCTGATATTAACATAGGCTGAATCGTTTACACACCACAGAATGTTTTCAATTGAACAAAACAGTCACATTGAATTGCAGCTAACATTTGGTTCAGCCTGTCGATGAGTCCGCTCCCTTAATCTGAAATTTGTTTTTATATTTGGCCACATGACAAACACGCCACACTTTGTTGAATGGGCGAGCAACGAAAAATTCTCTGAGTAGTTTGTAGCGTGTTTGGGAAAGTGTTGTCAGTCGCACAATCTCACACATCGTCACATACAATTAAAGCGATTATTTAAACTAATATTGGAGATAGCAGATCTGTTTTTTTTTAATGAAAATCTCAACGAAATAATTGTGCAAAAAAAGTGTGGAAAATCAATGGAATAATTAGTGAAAAACTCAGCGAAATGAGGTGCCTTTTTAATATTTAAGCATCAATGCAAATTGCAATAGGCTTCAGTTGTGACCCGTGAATATGCCGAAGCGAAACATAAAGCGTACAAGAAAAGAGAATAGAAAGAAAACAGAATCGTTCAGTTGTAGAGAATCGTGCGGACATTCGGTGGAAATGTTTTCATTTAAATATTTCTCTTTTTTGTTCGTCGCCTTAGTAGCTCTTCAAACAATGGCGGCGTTAGCATCAGCAGAGAGCAGTGAAGAAGCAAGCAATGCTGTTGGGGACATCGACAATGAATGGTGGAAAACGGCAGTGTTCTATCAAATCTATCCAAGATCGTTTATGGACAGCAACGACGATGGCATCGGTGACCTGAGAGGTATTGTGTGTTCGACGATCTGTTACATTTGAAGGCTAATATCTGTGTGTTTGTGTTTTTAAAGGTGTTTTGTCGAAATTAAGCTATCTAGCGGAAACAGGTATAACTGCCACCTGGCTGAGTCCCATTTTCCAATCACCAATGATTGATTTTGGCTATGACATCTCCGACTTTAAAGATATACACGAGGAGTATGGCACAATGGAAGATTTTGAGGAATTGATTTCTGAAGCGAATCGTTTGAATATTAAAATAATTTTGGATTTTGTACCCAACCATTCGTCGGACCAGTGCGAATGGTTCATTAAATCTGCAGCTAGAGAGGAAGGTTATGAGGATTTTTACGTTTGGGCAGATGGCCATATAAACGAGGATGGCGAAATGGAACCACCAAATAATTGGGTAAATACAAGACAGTTTTATAAATATATTGGAGTCATACATGTTCTGAAATGGCAAATTTTTAGCAATCGGTATTTTATGGTTCAGCATGGACTTGGCATCCTGAACGGGGCCAATATTATTATCACCAGTTTACGGCCGAACAGCCGGATTTAAATTATCGCAACAGTAAAGTGGTCGAAGCTATGGACGACGTTATCACTTTCTGGCTGGACAAGGGTGTCAGTGGATTTCGCGTTGATGCGGTCAATCACCTATTTGAGGATCCGGAATTAAAAGATGAACCGCTGAGCGGTAAAATACAAGATAGATCTTCACATCTTTATACTGAACACATCTATACTAAAGATTTGGTAAGGTTTGCAAATTTGACCATTACTGTTCATCCAATTGAATGCAAGAATATCATTTAAGCCCGAGGTGTATGACATGTTGTATCACTGGCGTAACCTGCTGGACGAGTACACTGAAAAGCATGGAGGTCCTGCCCGCATAATGATGACAGAAGCCTATGCCGATCTTAAATTTTTAATGGATTATTACGAGAATGCGGATGGTTCCAAAGGTCCTCATTTCCCGTTTAATTTCTTCTTGCTTACCGACATTTCTCAAACATCGGATGCCAGAGATTATGTTTTCAATATCCAAAAGTGGTTGACATATATGCCCCGGAACCATGTTGCCAATTGGGTGATGAGTAATCATGATAATCCACGCATAGCTTCAAGACTGGGAGTTGACAGTGTTGATGCCATGAATATGCTGTTAATGACTCTCCCGGGCGTGGCTGTGACATACAATGTGAGTATTTATGGAAAACTTGTGATGAGGTGGATTTAATGTTCATTTGCAGGGCGATGAAATCGGAATGCAAGATTTTCGTGATATAAGCTGGGAAGATACGGTTGATCCACCAGCACGCAACGTTGGTCCGGATAAATATAAGGAAGTCTCCAGGGACCCAGTACGTACTCCTTTCCAATGGAGCGGCGAGAAAAATGCAGGTTAGTTAGAGGGAAATAGATTTTGGATTTTGTTTTTAATTATCAATTTCGTTATCAGGTTTCTCCAATGCCGATAAGACATGGCTACCTGTCCATCCCAACTATGAGGAACTTAATTTGGAAATTCAAAAATCTTTGGAGAAAAGTCATTATAGTGTTTACAAGGATCTCATCGAGTTGAGAAAAATGCCAGTAATGGAACAAGGACGAACGGCATTAGAGGTTATTTCTCGAAACGTATTTACTGTAACAAGGTAATTATTAGGTTTCTCTAAAGTATAGACAAATCTAATTGAAGATACAAAAACGTGAACAATGTGTTTGGAAATGTTGCGAAATATTTACTGAGAAACCTGTAGTGCTATTCCTGCACTCGTTAACGACAAATTTGACAAAAAACAAACATCGATAACAAATTTTTCTATTTACTTTTAATTTTGAAATTAAAGAAATCTGCCGGTAAATTAGCGACGTAAATGAAATATTCGCTAAATTCTTTAAATGGAAATAATGTTATATTCTTTAATTTTACTGTTACGATAAAATTTGCGCTTGAAAAAAGTAAGTAATTTTTGTCGATCAAGACGAAAATTAGAGTTTCAAATTGTTATTTTGTAGTAAATGATCTGAACACACATACTTATACCAAATTCCATAATACTTTACTGTTTAGATCAAGTTATTGAAGCTTCAAAAATTTAGTATTCTTTATGATAAAATCTTCTATTTTCCAAAACACTCCTTTGTCTTTTAACACTTAAAATATTTATATTTTTATTTTATAAAAAATATTATTTATAATAATGTTAATTAATTTTCTAGATCCCTCAAGGGCCACTCATCGATTTTAACAATTATCAACACCAGTGACGAAGAACAAATGGTGAATTTACTTGAGGTTCTGGATGAAGACATTAAACAGTTGACTGTTCTTGTATCCGGCGTTAATTCCATTTATGACAAAGGGTAAATATGGCTACCTAAATAAATTAAAAAACAAACACACATATATCCTCACATCAATCAATTTGATCATTCACTCGAAAATATTATCTCTTCTCCTTCTTGCCTCATTTTGCTTTTATTCTTTGTACGCTTGCAGGACTGAAATACCCCAAGAAGACTTTGAACACTTCATACTGACGCCACAGGAAGCTCTTGTTTGCATGATTGCATAATCACCAGTCCATATTCCCGTTTCCGTCTACAATTTCCTCCTTCTGACCGACCCAGCAGCGAATAAGAGAAACCTCGATAAACACCGGCCAAAAATTAACGGGGCGGGGAGGCTGGCGTATTTACACATAACGTTAATTCATAATAAACAAAAAGAAGAAGAAAAAAGAAAAGAAAATATTAAGCTCAGACAGTATACTTTCTGCTAGTTTTTCTTCATCGCTAATTACTTATGAATGTGGCCAAGCAGTGAGCGGGGTTCATGTCTGGCAAATGTGGGCATTATCTGACAGCGGTAATAATAGAATAATGCTCTTAAGGGAATTTCCCCGGGGATTCTTTATTGAATATTAAAAAGTGTGCAAATGCAAGGGATTACAAACACGCAAACGGCCATCGTCAACGAAATGGAATGGTAATTAAAACGTTTCTCTATAAAATAATAATCATATCTAAAAAAAAAAATAAGTCATCAACTTAACCGGGCGGCACAGTTGAATACCGTGCATGTGGCAACATGTGGATGCTCTCCTGCCATCTTATTCGCTTCAGCTCATAAAATATTCAGAATTTCCTACGGTAGGCCACTAATTAGTTGTACTGGCGAAACTGACCTCTGCTGGCCAAAATTGTGGCCCAGTGGCTTTTGTGGTTGCTTGACCACATTGTAATTAACTAAATATTGAAGTTGTGGTCATTTTAATGGAATGCCGGCAAGGTAGAAGGTTTGTCGCATCAAAGGAATATTTTCATACATTTATTTAATTAGCTGAATTCATTTGAATTGTCCAGCCGGCGGACAAAAAAAAAAACGAATTTATTGTGTTTTTATGAAAGCTATAAAGTTGATTGATTTGAAATTGTTTTCAAAGAATGTCAATTTCACGGCAAAAAAAGGAATAATCAAATGAATGTAACTCCTATTGTGAAATAATGAAAAAATTGAGTTTCTTAATTGGTGGTGGGGGAAGAGTGTTTTTATTTGTAAAAATGCGATTATTGAAATATTTACGTCTTCCACAAAATCGCTATTTATGCATTTGTCATCCTTCTTGAAAATATTTATATTTTGTGCGGAGCCAAAGTCGAATTGATGATAAATGCCCGGAATTCCACAAAAGCGTTATATCGTTCTTTGCTTTTCTTTTAAATCGTTTTTTTTGCATATGATAACACTAGCATATATTTCCCCATTCTTTACGTGAGATATGGCAGGTAACTATGGCATTGGTATTTGTTCAAGTAAATTTCTTTTCATAAGTATTTTAAGGAGTGGAGCGCTATATGTTTTTTTCATATTAGAGTAGGGTAGGTGTTTACACGGTATGTTTTAAACAACTCGTCCTAAAACAAAAAACTTGTGTTAAGGACTATGTTTTTATACGTGATTATGTCCCCTTTCATTGTGTCTGAGAAAAAAATCCCCGATTTTGAAGCTGCTCTATATGTCGCAATTATAGATCAATCGACGGAATTTAGCACGGGAATATAGTTTGGGCTAGGCAGAAGCCTACCAATTTGGGTGTTCGTCGGATAATATTTAGCGGGTAAAATAGACCATTTAAATTTTATGAAAAAAAATACGAAAATGTCCACTTATAAGTCAAGAGCCCCTGGACGAATTTTCACTATTTTCACCAAATTGCAATGGCCTTTTGCCAGAAGGGAAAATCGCAAAAATATGCCAATACACCCTACAACACTGTGTGTTTGAGGGTATTATATTCAGGCCGCAACTATCGTTTGATCCTCACGAAATTTTGCATGGAGGTAGGGTAACTCTCTCCTCATGAAAAATTCTGTGTCGTTTAGTTTTTAATTGTGACCTGTAGAGAGAAAGAAAAAATAAATTTTTGGTCCATTTGAACGCCTTCAAAACAATAAGCTCTGACCCTAACCCTACCTCCATGCAAAATTTCGTGAGGACAGGGCAGTAGTCAAGCATTTTGGATGACTATTGGGTTATATTTGACTGGTAATATTGACCATATCTTATATGTGTGAATACCAATCAGACGTCATAGAAGGGTAAATATATTTTCCCTATATCAAAAACAAAAGGTAACATTCGTGCAGAACTGTATGGAATTTTTGAGCCTAAGGGGCTTCCAAAACATTATAGCGTTATAGGGTAGTAGTGCATGGTCGGCCCGCACTACTACCTTTGTTTGCTTGTTTTAAATATCATTATTGAAGCCATCGGCTACTCTAATGCGAAAATCAATGAAATTGTACTCTTGGATTTTAGTAACCTTGATTTATATCCACACACCTATAACCTCCATTATAGAAAACAGGGTATATTAAATTTATCATTCCCTTTTGAAACACCTCGAACAAGCAGTGATCAGCATACAATTTGATGTTGATTTAATGACATCCGCCTGTCTGCAGAAATCGAGATACAGTCCATTTTATTTAAAGTAGAGCTTTGACATTAGGCATAATAGTTTAAATTCTGTCCTTGGTGATTGGGATATCGGTCAACATTTCCATATAGCCTCCATAAAACAATGCCTCCGGATATTCGGCATTTTCACGATTTAAGAAAAATTTTCTAATGAATTTTTTTTAAATTCCGTTTGTAATGCGACATACCTCTAGTGGCAGAACATATCTATATAGCACTCATGAAAGGCACCTCCAGGTTTTCATTATAGGATTTTAGCTACATTGTCAACGATAGATGTTTTAATTTAGTTTCCTCGTAATAGACGCTGTAGCTGTATGTAGGTAAACCCTTTTGGTATAGCGTCAAGAAGGTGCTCTTAATGGATCTCTTTCGAAAATGCCACTTTGCTTAAATAAGAAATAATGCATGACTTTGATCTATTATCTCATGAAACGGTCAATATTTCATGCAGCAAGAAATTATAATATTCAAGGTATGAAAAATAACAATATATTGGGAACAGTTTTGGCCTGAAAGCCGGAGGTAAAAATCTTAACTGTCACTGGTCTGAGGGCGAATATATTTCACGGCAAATAATAAAACTATAAAGCTATTGTTATTTAAATATGTATAACAATAATATTTCAAGATATCGAACTACTCGTCTTACTTCTGGGTTTGTCATTTAGAGAGAAGTCTATATAACATTTGGCACATTTACACAATTATTTGTGAAATTAAAATTCATTCTTGTATAAAAAAGTAATTGAAATTTGATTCTAAATGCGTGTACGACTACAGACGTGTCCACTTGCTAAGCCATCGACGCCAAAATCTGCCCCGGACACGTCCTTGATAATTGGCCCCCTCCATTTGGAGAAGGAAGTTATGTTTTTGACAATTGTCAATATTTAATTATACGCATCGTTTTGTTCAGTTGATGGAATAAATGGAGCAGACAGCTGCTGGAATTAATTTTCTATGATTTTAAGTTTTTTGTTCAAAGTTTCATAGCTCGGCTTCAATAGAAGTTTAATTTGTTTGTGACATAAACAGATACCAAAGACGATTCGTTATTAATACAGCTAAGCTAAATTCATCGGAAAAGAGATCGAATATCAAATTAACATTTCCCGAACGAAAACAATTAACATTAAAATTTCATAGGCATTTATCGCAAGTTTGCTATGACGAATGAGTGACATCCGCATTCATTAGCCGCCACCACTACCATACGCCACCCTGACAAATGTTTTCCTAATTCGAGATAGGAAATACGGCATTATTAATACATTATCTTGAATTATCCAAACTACAACAAAAACAACGAAAACTCCAAATGGACAGGTCTCTCGTTGCCAGCAACACAACTGTGGCCAATAGCGATGCGACGACATCAAAGCTCCTGACAAATAAAGTCATCAGCCTGACCATAGCAGCCCACCAAGGCATTGTCTGTCAAATACCAAAAGCCATGTCAGCGTAAGTATTTTGACTTTTCACTTTGCAGTTTTGAAATGTTAAAAGTTTTTTTTTTGTTTTTGACTTTTGCGTCCTTTTGCAGAGAGCGCCGAGCCATGGTGCGAACCATTGTGAAGTTGGCTAATGTAATTTTGGTCGGGCTTTTATTCTACAAATTATGGAATAACAAATGGACAAAACTGAATTTCAACAAAGAAGCAATATTTTGAGGAGGGAGAGGTCAAAGTGTGAATCAACAGCAACTAATGAAAATATAATTAACTCGACTGTTCTGTTCTTTAAAGAAATTTAAAATGTAAATAGGTTTTAGTGGATGAAAGTTAACCAAGTCAGAGATCAGTGGACTTGTTGTGAATTGGTTTTATGCAAATTATTTGTAACTGCCTAATTAAAAAAATCTCAATATAAATAATCATGGAAATTCTCCGTAATTATCAGATTTCTTAGTTAAAAAGGAGAATGGTATTCAGTTATTTAAACAGCACCGGCACAGGTTCAAAAGCTTTGCCCGATTTGAGCATTTCTATTCCTTTTACCAACTCACCCACTGGATACTTCTTGTTATTGTTGCGGCTCGTGTTGATTCAATTCCAACTAAAAGATATTCCAGCATCTGGAATTATTCCCTGGCACACATTTTAATCCAGCCACAAGACAGCATGGCGACTGACTCGAATTAGTGTCGAGTATTTGTGCCCCCTCGTAAAAGTTTTCCATTTCCTTACAGGTGGTTGTTTTTCCAGCCTAAGATTTTGTTTGTTGTTAGAGATAATAAAAACCCAATTATAAATGAGAAAGAAAAACATCTCCAAGAATTTCCTTTCTTCGGAATCCGAAGGATGAGATGGAATCAAATGAACACCTCGGCGAAGCTGTGTTTATAATCCGCACAAGTTGCTTTGTAATCTTTTGAGTTTCTATTGAATCTCATTTAGACGTTTTGAGAGCCACCTCCACTGCCGGGGAAAATATTCAGTGGCGTTCTCAGATTGTCGGGTGGCTATGACGATAATGTGTTTTCGTATTTCATTCCTTGAAGTGCCTGGGAAATAACTATGAAGTACTCGTGGATGTATGACTAGGCAAAGGTAGTTGTAGTTGTCTGTACAGCGGCAACATTTTGATAGCAGGCATTATCGCTCCGAACAAATCAAGGGAAACAGAAATTGACTCGGTCTAAAATTGCATGAAAACTTAACGAGAAAATATTTCCGATGAATGACTTGTGAAAACATCAGTCGCAGCAGCAGTAACAACAACAGCTACAGCAACTCCCATGCAAGTCTGGAAAACATCCTCATTTGTGATGTGATGCCAATTCGCCCCACATCCATGACCGCCCACACTGGCTGATGTGAACGGATACAATTTTGTTACAGTCCCTTGAAAATACAAGTGGAAAGTGGAAAATGCGCATTCATCAATGTTCGATGTTATTGTGCTGTTGCCATTTCCGTAGATCCATAATGGAAATGTTTGCCATCTACCATTGGCTTTGTTTCGGCTGCCATCTACCACTCCAATCCCGTTTGCCTCGGGGTTTGTTATAATGGCAAGAATCCATTTAAAATCAGTTTAATATTCATTCCCACTCGAGTGGCAATATTAGAAATATTTGTGTGTTGGATTAAGAGATTGGTTTCTGTGGTTGCGAACACAAGCACGGACCATTAAACCAGAATTAGAAATTGTCACTGCCGAGGAATGTTCAATATAATTTTATTATTTTGGTTTTCTTTGGCTAAAAAGCGTCTTCAATTTGACACAGCATTGGGGATTGTTGTTCGAAAATTCGATATAAAAAATAAATTGAAAAAAAGTGTTTTAATGGAAATCTTGGAATTGGGGTTGAAAATTTTTCTAAGTCACCAAATTTACAAATAGCGTCAAATTCGGCAGTATAGAATTATGTATGCCATTTATAAGCTAAGAAAATTACAATGTAATCAAATCGAAAGTCATCGAGATTCCGAAAAATTTGAGAATAGCGCCGTATTTTCGATGTGGGTATTTGTAAACGTATGCAGGTGGCATGGAGGCCCGGGTCCTACGGCACTGCACTGACAATTTAAGTTTTACTATTGGGCCACGTTCCTGCCTGTACATACTTGGTCATATAGTTTTTCGCCGATCACGACACAAATGACTTATTCCAGTCTATTCGGTGAAATTATTAAACCACATTTGATTGAAAATGGGGGTGTTACATTCATGGTACTATACCTATATGGGGGCAGACATAACCAAATTCAAAACCAATTAGCCGGGACATAATACACTTTTTGCCAAAGTTTAAAGCTTTACAAAAATAAGGTGACCTCTATCTTGATTTCAACTGAAATAGGATTAGCATTGATAAAGAATATATAAATTTTATGAGATCTAAGTCGAGAATTTCAAGATATAAGAAACGGACTGAATAATTTGAAATCCCCCCTTCATATGGAGACCTCGAAAACCTTCGTTTAATAATTCAGTATTCATGTTCAGCGTCTCTAACCTCTACTGAAAATTTTTTCAATGTTTTCAGGTGAATTTGATAATGGAATCCTCCGACATTTTTACAAAATTTAACACAATTTATTTATTTGATCATTCATGACATTTCAACGCTACATGTGTTCTTCTATATTAAAGGGTTGCAATTTTTTCAGACTTTCTCCTTTACTAACAATTAAATAGGTGATGTGGAAAACGATTGTTTAAATCACGAAGGCCCCCATTGAGTTTCAAAACACAATACAAAATCTGTTAATTTCAGTGCAAAATATAGTCATTTTCGTTGTGTCAAACACACGGCCTTTCAAAATCATAAAACATTAGCTAGGAAATTGCCTGACTGCTCTGTTGGCATATAGACAGACGTGGGGCCACGAAACCAACTTGCCGTTCCTATTCGACCTATTCGTTACAAAATTCAACGACTCTATAATTTTTTACATGACATTTTTGTGTCGCACTCACCCACACACATGCACACACTTGCCCCAACACAGAGTGCTCATGTTCTATTTGGAAATTTATGTATGCCGCCCGGAGGCACAACCAACCGGTTTTGTCATCATTTGGGCGCCTAACAAATCCCAACCACAACTATGTTGTGCTCTGTGCTATTCCATGTATTTTGGAGCTTGGAAAAAGAGGAGTGCGGAAATTGTGGAAACATGTTTAGTTCCGATTCATAGCCTTCCTCCTCCTGCTCCCCCAGCGGATGATGTGTCTTGTTGTTGTACAATTGTTGTTCTGTTTGCTAGTGGGGTTATTGCTGCCATTGTCGTTCCCGTACTGATAGTGTTGGAACTATTCATTCCTAATAACTGTGTGCTGCTGTCGAGGTAGTGGTAATGACTGCTGTAGTTAGTTTTCAAGGATTTTCAAAGGTTGCATGGAGAAACAACAACGAAAAAAAAAAAAAAACATCAAACTAAAATTTAATAAAACTTAATATTTGTCAGGCAATGCCATAGCGAATCTGTGCTCAACTTTGACAATTGCAATTACTTTTCTGTTGTGGAATAAATGAAGGAATGTTTAATTCTCGAATTAATGTTAATTCAATGTTCCAGGGAATTGTTCAAAGGATATGAAAGTTAAGAACTTTCCTGAACGATTGTAAATAATAAATAACACTCAAAACAATTGATGTAAAAAATGTAGGACCACTATTACCAACAGTGTAAGTTGGGCAATATTCCATTCGTCAAACATTGAAAAATCAACTCGGGGTAAAGCTATTGAAGTTCCAAAAAGTGCAAGAACTTACACCGCAACAGAAAGAAAATAGACTCCAAAAATATAAAGAGTTGCTTCGCTTGGCCGAAAGTGGTGAACTGCCGAATTTGGTTTTCTCTGACGAGAAAACATTCGTTGTCCAGCAGTTTGTAAACAAACAAAATGATCGTGTTTTCTTGCCAAGGAGGTCAGCTGAAAATGTGCACCTTCAGTTGACCACCAGAACTCAAGCGCCGGCCATACTGATGGTGTGGGCCGACATAACAGCCGATGGTCGCTCTCCGCTCGTATTAATCGACCGTGGCATAAGAACAAATGCCGAATATTATCGCAAAAATATTCTGGAGGGTGTATTAAAGCCTTGGGCACACAAACATTTTGGCCGCCGACCTTGGACATTCCAACAGGACTCAGCATGCGCCACCCAAGAATGGTTACAAAATGAGGTTCCTCGTTTCATTTCCAGGGCACAATGGCCACCAAAATCTCCGGATACCAATCCGTTCGACTATTGTGTCAGGAGTATTTTGAAAAGCAAGGTTGGCACTAAAAAATACCAAAGTGTCGATCACCTCAAGCAAGCGCTTCGCCGGGAAAGGGGCAAAATACCACAGAGCAACATTGGGGCAGAGTGTGACGATTTCATTGGCCGTTTCAAGGTCATAATTCGTTCCAAAGGTGACCAATCCGAACAAATCTAAACTTATTCTAAAATGTCATGCTATTTCCGAAAATTATGGCGTTTGACTTTGTTGCAGTTTTTTTTATCTCACCCTGTATATTGACAATAATTCCTCATCATTTCTTATCATCATCATCATTTTTAATTTTTAGTTATTTTCTAAAATTAATTTAAAAGTATCATTTTTTTGAAAGAGGGTGTTCTTACTTTTTGAAAAATCGAACAGGTGAGCGTAATGGGTTAAGTACTCATTCGTATCAGTAATTATTTAAAAAACGAGCTTACTAACGCCTAACTTTCACAATATCAGGTTACAGCAATTATGTACTTCCAATAGTACCACTAAAGTGTTGATATGTACTCTTTGGTCAGAGTAATTCATTGCATAGTAATGGAGGGAATATGGTATTTTGCCTTCTAGATATTGAATTTAATATTGTAATGTGTTCAATTTTTGCAGATATTATCCACTTTTACCTGTAATAATAATAAGAAATTGCAAGTTCGGTTTCGCAAAAATTTCGTCTAAATCAAATTCGACTTTTTATTGAAAAATTGAGTTTATGTTGTCTTAAACCTTGTCTTTAAGGATCACTGCAGAATTCAATTTGTGAATCAATTGAGTCCTTTAACAGTGACGCTATCCGATGTCCTCCGCAAAAAAACTGTGCGGTACTTTAGTAACTTTGCTTTCGCACACTTAAATCGTTTTCCGCAATCTGCAACATCATTTATCCACCATGCTGTACAAAAAATAAATTGTATTATTTTGTTGCAGAGTCCTTTGTTCCTGCTGCATGACCATTTGTCATGATGCATTTCAGTTTCCGTTTCGTTGTCTGGCAGTCGGGCAGGCAGGGTTGAGTGAATACTGCTGCCGTGGCCATAACCGGACATACATATCGCTGTCCTGTATCTTGAAATGCTCACTGAAATGGCCATTTATATTTCAAAATGATAAACGACTTTAACCACTCTCTCTTT